CTCTGGGAAAGCAGTGAGTCACGAGAGGAAAAACACCCTCACCCCAACTCAGAGAGACAGCGTTTCTGCCAAATCGCCGGTGTCTGGGGGTGACCCACTGGCCCCCCACAGCCCCTTCGACCCCCACCACCGCGGCGTTGTCCCAGGGGAGGTCTACCGGGCGCACCTGCCCCCCCACCTCGACCACACTATCGCCTTCCACCGTGCGCTTGACCCAGGTACGCGGTCCGGGGAAAGACCCAGTGCTCACTGCATCCTGTGTTACCTTGACAACACGGCCCACTTTATCAGACGCCAAGGGCGAACTGATGTTGCTAGCACAGCTCATAAACAAACAGCAAGAACCACACAAGCACTATACAGACAGTTCATCAGCTGTGTTAATCGACACAGCTGATCAAACTATGCAGTGTACTATTCGTAAGAACTGTAAAAACAGGAAAAAAAAAATTTAAATGCATGGATGGCCGCTGGTGAGAAGGATCTCCTAAACCTCTCAGTCGTGCATCAGGGTGCTAAAAAGTGACACTGAAGAGGCTTTATTTGATCAAAAATCACTGTGTGGTGAAGCCCACATTTCCCACCATAGGTGTGGCCTTTCTCTGGGTCCACTTCTGTACTGAGTCCTCCACAGACTCCAGTTGTGTCCCAACAGAGGCACCTGCACTTTTAAATAGCCTGCTAAGTCGGGCCGAGTCTTCCTTCTGTATGTTACCTGTGCTAATTTGTGGAGCAGTTCTGTAGCCTGATGCTGGTTGGCTCCAGAGAAGAAGCTTAATAGGAGACTTTGCTCCATGAAACAAACAGAAATTGCAGCTTCCATAATTGCAGAGGGGACTGGTGCTGGGGAGGTAATGCACATACCATAAAGCAACTTCCAATATACTTATTAATCAATTTGATGTTTTCATTGATTTCATCGGTGAAAAAAAATATGCCACTACAGTAAACAGAAAGCCAAATCAGAAAATAAAAGTTGGAAGCATGAGAAAAGACGCTTGGTTTTAATTTCTTTTTTTTTCCCTGCAACAGCTTATTTATTTCCAAGACAGCCTTCGCCAACTGGTTACCACAACACGTATCAGCTGTACGCCATGGAGAACACACGCCAGACCATTCTCAATGATTACATCACCTCCCAGCAGATGCAGGTCATTCCCCGGCCTGACGTTGCTAGGGGACTGTCGCCACGGGAGCAGCAGATCACCATCCCCTATCCGCCTGGAGCAAGAGGTATTTACTTCTTCCACCCCTGCGACCTGGGCCAAAGAATTTATGCCTATGTGGAGAATGAGTTGCCTTTTCCAGACTGCTAGAAGCAAATGACCCTGTCAAATTACCTGTGATAGAATCAGGTGGTGATTATTTCTTTGGTTTCGGATCGATTCAATCATCACGTCCTCCAATTTTCAATTCTTAACTATTTAGCTGTCTTTCATCATCCCCTGCACAATTTTTGTTAAAAAAAAAAACAAATCCCTAATATTTGCATTGGATTAATGGCAAGTTAAAATGATTGATTCAGATGGGGCGGGTGGGAACATTTAAAAAAATGTAAGAGGTGCTTTTCTTTAAATTTAAATGGCTTTGGTATTCACTCTGGCCCTTTGCTTCTGTCTGAAAAGGGATTATTGATCTAGCCCAGATGCCTCCCGCTATCCTGTTGCCTCACCCAGGGGGAACAAGTACTCCCCCAATGGACCGCATCACCTACATCCCTGGAACTCAGGCCCCTTTCCCTCCTAGGGCTTTCAACCCAGCTTCCATATCTCCAGGTGAGAACCCAGCCCTCCACCCCACCGCTTTACCACAGGCTGCTGGCAGGAGGAGGAGACGTCGCGGACAGTTCACAGGGCAGCACGGGCAACACAGGCGCCGTTGGCGTCGCGTGAGAGTTGGCTTGCGTTTTGTTGGACGGGATGACTAGTTTGACGGAGGTTTCTCTGTGTGTCCCCCCCCCCCAACGGAGACGTAAGGTTCCGTTGAAGTAATACGGCCCATTCCAGTTTAAATCCTGTTAATAATTATTATTATTATTCTTTATACTTATATAGCACTCTTCTGGACACTCCACTCTGTAAGCGCTTTACAGGTAACGGGTAATCCCACTGTCTCCACCAATGTGAAGCCACACCTAGACGATGCGACGGCAGCCATGGTGCACCAGTCCGCTCTCCACACACACCAGCTCTCAGTGGAAAGGAGAGTGATGTAGCCAGTTCATAGATGGGGAATTAATAGGTGGCCATTATTGGTAAAGGCCTGGGGGAAATTAAGACAGGACCACCAGGGTAACACCCCTACTCTTTTCGAGAAACGCCCTGGGATTTTTAATGACCAGAGAGAGTCAGGACCTCGGTTTTACATCCCATCCGAAGGACGGCGCCTTTCTACAGTATAGTGTCCCCATCGCTGTGGGGCATTAGGACCCACACACATCGCGGGAAGAGCATCCCCTACTGGCTCCACTAACACCTCTTCCAGCAGCAACCATAGTTTTTCCCAGGAGGTCTCCCTTCCAGGTACTGGCCAGGCCCACACCTGCTGAGCTCCCGTGTGGGGCTGGATGTGAGCTGCAGGGTGATAAAGCTGCTGGCATTGTTGCTGGCGCAGTTACATTGTCCATCTGGCATAAGATTCCTGTTGCCCCAATGGAGAGCCCTGCGCCAGTCTGTGTCCCGCGGGCCCGTGCGTCTCCAGTCAGCCCGCGCCTGCTGTGTGTTCCAGGTCACCCCGCCCACCACGCGGTGTCGTCGGCCAGCGCGGAGCGCGAGCGGGAGCGGGAGCGGGAGAGGGAGAGGGAGCAGAGAGAGCGCGAGAAGGAGAGGGAGAAGGAGCGAGAGAGGGAGCAGAGGGAGAGGGAGAGGGAGCAGAGGGAGAGGCTGG